TGGCAGTAAGTTCTAGAAGCCTAATCAGATTCAGGTTCTGGTGTTTGGCCAGAATATTTTACAGGCAGGGCTCTATGCCTCCATCAGATGCATGTAATGTCTAGTTGTTTCTCTTTGGGTGATGTTAGGAGACATCAGTGATCATAGCCTAGAGATTACAAAATGGTAACATTCCATCTCTTCTTTTATAAGCTGGAATACTTACGGAAAACTTGCCCTGATCAACTGTTTGGTTACCCTGTGGTATAGTTCATACAGGAAAGACAGGAGAAATACTTAATTATTTTCCTTTATTTACCAGTTTTCGTATGAATGGGTTGACTCTAACGTCTTCCAAAGTTGAACATTTTTTTAATAGCATTACAATCCAAAGGACTGAAACATATTTTATGCATTTAAATCCATTGCAGTTATTACTGTAGTCAACGCTCAGATCATCCCATTGGCCGGCGGGAGCCTTTTGAAATTGGCCCAACCTCATCTTGTACATTTTCTGTCCCTGACCTAAAATCAGCTGTTTCTCCAAGGAGTCCTGGTTCCTTTTAGTGAGAAATGATATTCAGAATCTGGGCACTGGCTCTGCTTATTACTGAGTAGGTCCTCATTTCTAAGCCTTTACAATGAACGGAGCTAAGAAATACTTTTTGAAAGATAAAATGCATCATGGGTTCATTTCATTTCCAATGTAGGAACATTTTTTCTTTTTCACTGAACTTCCTTGATGTCGTATCTGTATCTTCTTTCACTCTTGCTGGTAATCCAGGTTCTCAACACCAACATAATTTCCCATATTCCTTAATATACACCCAGGAGTCTCAAATTGTAATACCAATACTACCAACAGCAATACGATTACTGAAAATCATTTGTGTGCTTTTCCTTTCAATTCTTCTTGTCTGTACATCCTACTAGGGATGGACTATCAAATTGCTGTGTTTGAAAATCTCTTTAACTAGTTCCTTCATGTGTGATTATGCTACCAACTGATACAGTATTATATTCATTTATTTTACACTGCTTTTAAGATTTGAGAAATTGCTTATCACATTTAAATCTTTTTTCATTATGTAAAATATTTACATAGTTCCAAAGCTAAACCTCTAAAAGAAGGTATATTCTGAGAAAGTCTAACTTCTATCTCTATCCTCTCTACCCTGGCCCCTCCCCCCATCCCTAGGTAATCTTTTGCATTTTGAGTTTGCCCTTTCATTGATTGTTAATATGAGAAAATATGTGTGTGTCTCCCACCCTTTTCTTAGCTAAATGGAATCATTACCCTTGCTTTTGCTGCTGTATCTTGCTTTTATTCACTTAATAAAATATTCTGGGGACCACTCCATGACATTATATAGAACGTTCCTTATTCTTGTTTTATAGCCGCATAAATTGTCCCTGTTGTTGATTACCCCAATTCATTTAGTCAGCTCCCTATTGCTGAGCATTCTGGCTGTTTCCATTCTTTGGCTGTTATAAATAGTACTGCGTTATGTAGCCTGGTACATATATATGTCTTTGCATATTTTTGCCAGTGTATCTTTGGGATAGAGTTCTAGAAGTAGAGTTGCTGGGTGAGGGAATAAATGCCTATGAATTTTGCTGGATGCTACCAAATTTCCCTGCATAGGGTTTGTGCTCTTCTGCATGTCCAGCAGGAAAGTACTAGAATTCCTGCTTTCCCTCGGCTTCACGAGTCATCAGACTTTTTGCATTTTTCCCTACCTGATGGATGAGAAACAATTTCTCAGTAGAATTTTGATTTGTATTTATTTTCTCAGTAAGAGGGAGGTTGAGCATCGTCTCAAATGTTAAAGAGACACTGCACTTAGGAATCCTCCCCTCCTTCTCCCAGCCTGGCAGCCACCACCCTGGGATATGAAGATTAACTAGAGAGAGTGAAGGATTCAATGAATGGACAGGTTGTTTGCCAATCACCTGAGCAGAGAAGAGAGGAACTAGCCATAGTGATAAAACGATACAGCAGAGAAAGAAAACAAAATGGTGGCCAACAAAGGAAAGATTTGAGTTTCCTTCTCTGGAAAGTTTAGATAGGGCTTTGTTGATGTATAAGACTGAATAGAGAGTAGCCTTGTCAGGCAACAGTGACTCTGTGATCTATGGCTTCCTGCAAAGTGAGTGACAACATCACAGTCCAGCAACCAAAGAGGCTGGGCCTGTGCTGAATGGGAGCCACGAGAAAGTCCCCACTCTCTTCTGAGGCTCTGTGCCTGCCTGGGAACCCAGGCACACGCAGCAGGCATGCCCCTCCCCACCTCCAAGTCCATTGGAAGAGTAGAGCAAAGTATTAGTAGTTTCAGTGCCATGGATGGATGGGTTTTGAAAACAGGTTACTCAGGAGATAACAATACCTATAGGCAATTTATGCTTTCAGTGTTTGATAGAGGTGCTATGTAATTTCTCAGGTTCCCCAAGCCTCAACTTACTGAAAATGGGATAATAATCCCCGCCTATAAAATCAGGATAATAATGGTTATATACCTTTTAATGTTGCAGTTGTCACAAGGATAATCCACGTTAAGCCCAACACATAGTAAACTCACTAGCAGTGAGTTCATACCTATCAGCTGTTGGTGTCGTGCTGCAGGAGGATTTGTCATGCTGCAGGGGGATTTGGAGACAGAGGTCTTGAGGTTAAAGCTCTGCTCTAACTTTATTAGCTCTTCATCTAGTCTGTCAGCCTACTTAGCCTCAGTTTTCTCCTCTGTAAAATGGGGACAACTTCATAAATGCGGTGCACATTTTAATGAGATAACACGTGGGATGGATTGGGTGGGATGGACTGGAAGACTGGGACTGACGTATGTACACTACCATGTATGAAGCAGATGGCTGGTGAGGGCCTACTGTATAGCACAGGGGGGGAAAAAAGAAGGTACAGTCTGTTTGCAGGACAAATATTAAGTTAACCTTAAAAATACATTCCAACATACAATAGTTGCAGACAGGTACTGTTTGATCCCACTTATACGAAGTACCAAGAATAGTCAAAGTCATAGAGACAGAAAATACCTTGGTAGATGCCAGGGGCGGGAGGGTGGGGGGCGTGGGGAGGAGGAGTGGGGGGTTAGTGTTTCATGGGGACAGAGTTTCAGTTTAGGAAGGTGAAAAATTCGGGAGATGGATGATGGTGAGAGTTGCACAACAGTGAGAATATACTTAGTGCCACCGAACTGAACAGTTAAATATGGTTAAAATAATATGGTTTATATTGTGTGACTTCTACCTCAATAAAAAAAAATTTTTTTAATGAGATAACACGTGTAAAGCAGGTAGCATCGTAAGTCATCGGTATGAGTTGTCTACTATTAACATCATTATTATTCTTTTGTCTTCTTTGTTAGTTAAACTTTCTAATAGAATTTACTATTAAGAATGCTTGACAGTTATTTTAGATATTTTCAGGAATGCTGCAGAATTGAGAGAGGAAAGGTGTGGTACATTTGCCTGTGTTTTATGATTACTTGGGGAAATTTGCCAAAATTTTGCAGGGATAGGAGTGTTGGGAGCTCCTCATCCCCTTTCCTTTCCAGTCCTGTTCAGCGCATTTTGGGCATCTGGTAGCACCGCAGTAAGGGGATCCCAAGGAAGCAGGGTTTCTTTTAAAACTGGGATGCTGCTTAGGGTACGATCTCTGGTTTTATGCTATCTTCCTAGGTCTGAATCCAAGTTCTACCACTTGCTAACCCTAGTTAGCAAGGGCTAGTTACTGATTCTCCATAAGGCTCCACTTTCTTAGCTGTAAAATGGAGTAAATAATAGCACCCTCCTCACAGGGTTTGTGTTTTGTGAAGATCAAACATGGTAGACACGTGAAGCTCGGCGTGTGACGGGAGCGGGCTCTCAGTCCACGGCCGTGGTGGTGACAGCGGCAGTGGCTTTGGTGCTCGTGGTGAGGGGAGGGAGGTGCCTTCTCAGGGTGGGCGAGGTTAGACTAACAAACAACCCCAGAATCTCAGTGGCTTAAACACAGGAGTTTCGCTCTCACGCAGACTACTCAGGCTACATGTGTAACCTGGGTCACGGGGCTCTTCTCCTCAGGGTCACTTAGAGGCCCAGGCTGATGGTACTTCCTTCTAGACTTTCACAGTCACAAGCTGCAGGTCACACGCTGGCTCTTCACGTTCCCGTGTGGATGGGACACGCATCACTTCCCCCCTCGATGGATTGGTCAAGGCAGTCACGTGGCCTTGCCTACATGGACACAAAAGGGTGGACGATGAGATCCAGCCACGTGGCCTGCAGGCAGAGCACTGGAGCAGCTCTAATGACCACCACAGGGCCAAGGGTCTGGCTACAGGAAGAGGCAGGAGTGATGGGAAAGATGGGAGAGAATGGAATGGGAAACTAAGGGATGGGAGCATGGGCAGAGAGAGGCCAAAGGACTGAGATAACAGGGTTTGCAAGCTCAGAGCCAGCGTGAGGGGTGCCTGAACCCTGGGGGTCTTGTGGCTTTACCTGCCGTGACTACGCTCATCCTTCCATCCACTCATTTATTCATTCAAGCAGTGGTCACTGAGGGACACCCGTGTGCCAAGACATAAGACAAATTATACGGCCCCTGCGCTCAGGGAGCTCACAGCGGAGCGGGCTGTGTGCTCCTGGGCCAGAGCACCGGGTGCCAGCTGTGCCAGGGTGGGCCGGGCTTATGCCTCTGCCAGAGGCCTGATGATTGAGTCAGGAGCAAAGAGAGAACCAGTGTGACCCAAATATTAGTTGTACTTCAGCACCACTAGAATGGCAAAGGACTTTGTTTAAAGGATTCTTTTCATTCCTCCCCTCTGGCCCTTCATAAAACTCCAAGTGATATAACTGGGCATATCCGTAAAGGACCCAAAAGACAGAGCTCACAGTTTATACAGTTTATGTAATTCTCCATAAAAACAAAAACAGTACTTGCTGGCAGACACGTTTTATAGAGAGATTTTTTTGTTTATTTATCTGTCCCCCCAAGAAACCTGCTTCTCTCCCTTCTGTCCCCCCAGCTCCCTGCGGCGGTCATCTGACTTCGCCCAGCGGCACCATCCTGTCTCCGGGCTGGCCTGGCTTCTACAAGGATGCCCTGAGCTGTGCCTGGGTGATTGAAGCCCAGCCAGGCTACCCCATCAAAATCACCTTCGACAGGTGCTTGTAACCACAACCTGGGGGTGGGGGTGAGGAGTGATATCTCTGCGGTGGTGTGGGAGGGAAGCTGGGGTGGGTGACGGACCAGCACCGATGCTGGAACGTCAACGAGGTCAGAGAACACTCGAGTGGCTGCCCTGGGTGGGGTGGGGACAGGCTGCACTGGCTTTGCCCTTGGCCTTGGTTCCATCTCAGTAGCGGGGTCTGTGATGTTTAGGGGACTGTTAGTATCTGAGGAGCATTTCCAGTGTGGGAAGGCGGTCTTCTCACCTCTGACCCGAATCGTGCTCATATGCCCCACTTCTAACTCCCACCCTGGCTGTGCCCCTCGGGTGGGGGAAGTAGCCACCCAAGTATGAACACAAACTTCTTCTAGACGAAGCGTTCATGGTGTAGAATAGCTGTTGCAAACTTTTCTGTGAAGGGCCAGGTAGTAAATACTTTAGGTTTCATGGGACACTTGCTGATATCTGTTGCATAGTCTTTGCTTTTAAAAAAAAAAAAAAATACTGCTTTATAAACGTAAAAAACATTCTTAGCCCTCAGGCCAGCCAAGAACAGACTCTAGACCAGAACTGGCCCTGGGGCTGTAGTTTACTGACCCCTGGCCTAGAACATTCTGACCCCCAAGAGGCTAGTCACTGTGCCTCTAGGTCTGAAGATGGGTCACAGCCCAGGCCACAGAGAGGACTGGGAAAGCCACCTCCAACCACAGGAGGAGGAGGGTTCAACACAGGAGGGAAGGTCCTCCCACATCTCCAGTAAATGTGTGCAGATTATACTAAAATCTCCCAGCCTGCCAAAATCCCCTTGTCCTGAAGCCCAGGTCAGGCAGGGCCTTTTGTCATTTGCAAATTAATGAAGTTTCTCAAGACGTCTTCACTTCCATCTGCGGCAGATTTAAAACTGAGGTCAACTATGACACTCTGGAAGTGCGAGATGGACGGACGCACTCGGCGCCCTTGATCGGAGTTTACCACGGGACCCAGGTGCCCCAGTTCCTCATCAGCACCAGCAACTGCCTCCACCTCCTCTTCTCCACCGACAAGAGTCACTCGGACATCGGCTTCCAGCTCCGCTATGAGAGTGAGTGTCGGGGCGCCAGTGACAGGGTCGGCTGTGTGCGGAAAGGACCAAGGGCTGAGCTCCACCAGGAGGTCCCGCTCGGCCGCGTCGCCGTGGCGTTCTCACTTAGGCTGTGCTCCTCGGGAGGTGCTGCCTGTTCTCAGCACCTCTCAGAGCTCAACTTTAGAAAGAATGGAAGGTCCCCCTCTGTGTGCAGATGACCGGGCGCCACCATGCTGGGCACTCTGGGGACAGATGGTGATGTTGGAGTGAGATGCCATCTCCCGCTCCCTCGCCCTCTCTCATCACCTGCATTCATCGCTCATGCCTCAATTGGAAGAGCTTGTTGATTCGATTCTTTGCAGGCCACTCTAGTAACTTAGGGCCGAGAGCACCATGAGAAGAGGGTCGTTTTCTCACCTGTGTTCGTATCCATAACCCTGAGCATGGCGTCTAAGCCACAGGGGACACCTCACTGGTGGTTACTGAATGATGAACGAACAAATGATGAAGACAGGTTGTTCTCCCTGACAGATGGGTCTTCAGATACCCTCAGCAGATACTGACAGCCACATTTGAGGAGGGGGCAGATGACAACTCCAGCCTTCTCTCAATCAGGGCTCTCTCCCCCATCCCTTTGTGAGTCAGCTGGGGTCCCTCTATGCTCACAGTGAGCTGTTCCAGCTGTGGGCTCTCTATTCCAGCTATAACACTGCAGTCAGACCACTGTCTGGATCCAGGGATCCCCGTCAATGGGCAGCGTCATGGGAATGACTTCTACGTGGGCGCCCTGGTGACCTTCAGCTGTGACTCGGGCTACACACTAAGCGACGGGGAGCCCCTGGAGTGTGAGCCCAACTTCCAGTGGAGCCGGGCCCTGCCCAGCTGTGAAGGTGAGACATACCAGCAGGGGGCGCTAAAGTAGAGGACTCCTTTCCTGCCCTGAAAATACAGGCACTGACCCCCTGACCCTGTCAGTGAGGGTTGGAGGTCTGGACAAGATGGGGGCTGGGATCCCAGGGGGACTGTGGGGGAAGCTCCCTGGGCTGCTCCAGTCTTTCAGTGCCCGCTTCCCTCCTCTCCAGCTCTCTGTGGTGGCTTCATTCAAGGCTCCAGTGGGACCATCTTGTCACCGGGGTTCCCTGATTTCTACCCCAACAACTTGAACTGCACCTGGATTATCGAAACATCACATGGCAAGGGTAAGTGTTTAGGCCCATGGCAGGTATTGGGATGCAACATGGTCAGGGCCCCAAGGTCCCCAGGTCAAGATGACCTCAATGGGGATCTCCCTCTCTAGTGACCTCTGGGCTTAGTCCGAATTTTTCTCACCAACCAGAACCTTCCTATCTCTTTGAATCACAGGACTCATTCAACAAATATTTTTCAAACCTAAAATCTCCATTCTAGAAGAGATCTTAGAGATTACCAGCTCTCAAACCTACTTAATTCGGTCGGGAATCTTCTCCAAATCACTCCGCACAAGACGGCAGCACACCTTCTGTCTAAACCCCCCCTCCGTGGTGGAGAGGTGACCAACCCACTCAACAAAGGGGCACCTATTCTCATTTTCTGCTAGGTCTGACCCCTCCTAATAACCTGAGACTGAGTTCCTTGTACTGGTCCTGGAGGAACATAGGCTGCCTCTGCTCCCTGTTCCTCACATCCAGCCTTCAGATATTGTACGTGGCAATCCTCTTCTCACAGAATTCACACTGTTCCTCAGACGAGTGTTTTCATATTCCTCACCAGGCTGGATTCTTGCCCTACCTTCCCTGGCATAAATGACCTTTGGGAGTCCCAAGTTCAAAGCAAGGGTGCTGACTACAAATAAACATTAACTAATATACTCTTTCACTCCACAAATATTGATTGAACTCCACCTATGCGGCAGACCCTGAGACTGGGAATACACAGTAACCAGGCAGAGATGGCTTCTACCCTCAGAAGCTTGCTCCGAAGTTCATTTAGAGTCAAGGTTCTTAACGCAGTTTGGCAAATACTCTAATGTTAGACCCCTACACTAGAGGTTTAGATTTTCTATGTTGGTGGTGGAAACCAGGCAACTATGTTTTTAGAACACTTCACTAGTAACTGTGATGCGTGCCTTTAAATAAGAACCTCTGATCTAGAAGAATTAACGTGTAGAAAAGCCAAGAAAAACTTTAAAGGGAAGAGTAACCCTTCCAGATATTAAAATGTTATTATGGGATAAAATAATTTTAATGATGTGGTATGAGTATAGGAGTGGACACACAAATCAATGGGGGAAAATAAAGATCCAGAAATAGACTCCCCTATGTGTGTGTGTGTGTGTGTGTGTGTGTGTGTGTGTGTGTGTTTGTGAGAGAGAGAGTGTGTGTGTGTATATGTGTGTGTGAGAGACAGTCTTTAGTATATGATTAAAGTGTCATTTCCAATCCATTAAAGAGAGGATGGATTATTTAATAAATGGTTTTAAAACAGTGGGCTTAACCATTTGGGAAAAAGAAAAAACCAAGTCATACCTCACGCATTTATCCACAAATTCTAGTACTAGAAGGATATGAAAGTCTAACCTCAGGTGGGACTTACTTAAAGAGTAACACCAAAAGTAGAATCCATGAAGGCAAAGACTGTTAGATTTGATTAAATAATACTTTGAATGGATGTATGGGTTTTTTAAATAAATATATAAATATTCAAAATATTCATGTAAAATATTCAAATAGTTAATGGACAAAAATATTTGCAACCTATGTAATCATCTAAGGACCATGAACCTGATGCATAAAGAGCTCTTAAAATTTTTTTAGGAAAATATGCCTGGTCTACAGGGCTATAAAATAAGCAAAACTATAAACACTTTGTAATAGAGGAAATACAAATGAAAAGACCTCGACCGCCCCTAACAATTTTAAAAATGCATATTCACCCAGTAAATGAAATGCCATTTCCCTTTTCAAGTCAGCGGAGCACATCACAACAGTGTAACAGTGTGGGGGACAGTGTAGAGACACGAATACTATTCTTCCGTGCTGCCGTTGTGCGAAACTGCTCAAACTTTCCAGAGGATGATTCAGCCATAAATCAAAAGTCTTAAGAATATACGTGCCTCCGGTACTTCCCTGGTGGCACAGTGGTTAAGAATCCACCTGCCAATGCTTGATCCCTGGTCCAGGAATGTCCCACATGCTGTGGGGCAACTAAGCCCATGCACCACAACTACTGAGCTTGTGTTCTAGAACCCGCGAGCCACAACTACTGAAGCCCGTGCTCCTAGAGCCCGTGCTCCACAACAAGAGAAGCCACCGCAATGAGAAGTCCGCGCACAGCAACGAAGAGTAGCCCCCGCTCGCCGCAACTAGAGAAAGCCCGCACACAGCAACGAAGACCCAACACAGCCAAAAATAAATAAATTAATTAATTAATTAAAAAACAAAAAAAAGAATATATGTGCCTCTGGACCCAGCAGTTCTACTTCTTGGAATTTATCTGAAGAAAATAAATAAACTGTACATCAAGATTTAGCTACAAGGTCGTCCCCTAAAACACTTTATTAATTGAAAAACTAGTAACTATTCCAATGTCCATCGATCAGGAAATGTTAACTAAACGTATGGTATAGCCAAATAACGAAATATTCAATATTACCATGCAGCTACTGAAAGGAGTAATGTGAAAGAATATTTAAAGCCCTACACAGATGGTTGCAATACACTGTGGACTAAAAAAGAAGTTTGCCAAATAATATATTCAGTTTATAAAAATTAAGCAAGGAGAGCTTCCCTGGTGGCGCAGTGGTTAAGAATCCGCCTGCCAATGCAGGGGACACAGGTTCAAACCCTGGTCCAGGAAGATCCCACATGCCGCGGAGCAACTAAGCCCGTGCGCTACAACTACTGAGCCTGTGCTCTAGAGCCCACAAGCCACAACTACTGAGCCCGTATGCCACAACTATTGAAGCCCACGTGCCTAGAGCCCATGCTCAGCAACAGGAGAAGCCACCGCAATAAGAAGCTCGCACACCGCAACGAAGAGTAGCACCCACTCGCCACAACTAGAGAAAGCCCGCGTGCAGCCACGAAGACCCAACACAGCCAAAAATAAATTAATTAATTAATTTAATTAATTTATCAAAAAATAAAAAATTAAGCAAGAATATGTGCATTGAAAACAGTCTGAAGAGCTATGCCCCCAAAGGTTAATACTAGTTGTCTCTTATTTTCATCTTTTGACTTTTTCCTAATTTTGAGCACTAAATATGTATTCCATGTAAAGTATACTATTTGTATAAAAAAAGAAAATTTGAAAGAATAGTCACCTATAATCCTGCCTCATGTATTTAAGCACTGTCACTGTTGCCTTTAATAGGCCTGGTATTTAGCTGGGATTAGGACAGCCTTGGGCAAGACAGGACTCTCCGGCAGTCAGGGCAATGCGGGGCTGGCCCCCTTTTCCCACAGTATTGCTCCCGAGGAGAGGAGGGACGGAGGCAGCGTCCTTGTTCATCCTGCAGAGCTGTTTCCACCAAGCCTGGTCCAGAGTTGGCCATTGCCAGGGCCAGAAGCTACTCTGTGGCATCAAGAGGGAAAGAAAGGCAGCCCCCTGTGACCCCTAGAGTAACGACCCCCCATAGTCATGATTCTCTCTGCATCTGACGTCTGTAATTATAGGGGTGTATGTTCCTCTTTGCCTTTCTACCTGTGTCTTTCCTTAGAAGTCAATGCAGTTCAACAAATTTTTAACAAATGCTTATCTGATACTTGGGCTTGCTGTAGGTGCTAGGCAAACACAGGGGAACAGACCCTCTGGCGCTGCCTGCCTTGTAGTCTAGTGGTAGAGATCCAGCCTAAAGAGACCTCTCAATGTACCATGGTCAATTCTGGGATAGAGCAGACACAGGTGGGGAGTTGAGACTTAGGCCAGTCTTCAAGGATGAACAGGAATTAGCCAGGATGAGAGGTGTTCCAGGCAGAGAATCAAGAGGTCACTGATGTATAACCAGGTCACTTCTTCCTTAGAACCATTGAAAGGCTTCACCAGACCCTAAGCATTGAGCCCCAAATTGTAAACTAGCTAGCATGGCCTTATAGCCCTGGCTTATTACCTTTCTCAGCCTCCTTCTGAGCCCTCTAAGCACTAAGTTCTAGTTGCACTGAACTTCTTTCAGTTCCTAGAACTTCTTAGGCTTTCGTTGTCCTTTAGAGCTTTGCACAATGGGACAATTTTCTTCTCCTGGAACACTTCCTGTCCCCGCATCGTCTCCACCATTCCCCTTGCCTGGCCAGCTGCTCATCCTTCTGAATTCAATTCCTCTACCGAACCTTCCCGCCCCCCTGCCCCCAGCGCTGGGTCTGGGTGGGGCCCCCCTCCACAGGCTCCTGTGTGACCCTGTACCGTCCCAATCCCAGACTTCTCCCCACTGTATGGAACTTGGCATCCTCGTCATCTGTCCCCCGGACCAACTCCAAGCTCTTTCAGAGAAATGTCTGCCTTGCTTCCTGCAGTTTCGTCAGCTGCTGGCTTCATGCCTGGCACATAAGAAACTCCAGAAATATCTATACGAATTGAATTAAAGTGAACTCACACCCTTCTCCAGGCACCCCTCAGGCTCTGCTTGTAACAGTATCTCGGGTTAACAGACCTATGGAGGCTGCTGACTCCGATTGCTCCCTACCAGGTAGAAGTCCAGCTGGGAAAACTGAAAACTCTGTGAAATTCAGAATTGTTCAACTTACCACATGCCCAGCCCAAGGGAGCAGCCATTTCAGGAGTCCAGATAACATGCCTTTGCTAAGACCCCAGGCCTGACATCTTTTAACCCACAAGGCTGTCTGGGAGTTAGATGAACTGAGTACTAAGAACGCCTACTGTGTGCCAGGCACTGTGCCGTGGGCTTTGCATGTGCTGCCCCAGGTGTTCCTCTCCCCAAAGATTAAAAGTCACCTAAAGGCGCAGAGCAGCTTTGGCCCAGACACTTTCGCTGGTAGACGGGCTTTTGACCCAGGTCTGCCTCCCTCCAAATCCCCTCCTTTCCCATGGCCCTGCTCTCTCTGCTCCAGTGTGGTGTTAATGTGCTTTGCACGACTCTGCATGGTTCACTCCAGTGGAGTCTTCGCTTGTGTATGCATCTGTCACACCAGATCTGGATTCAAACTCCAACACAGGGCCTCTCTGTTTCTGTGACAATGTCTTCATTTTCACACAATGGCCAAAAGAG